GTGCATGTGAAAATATTTGATACATATTGTCGAATGCATAAATGTGTCAGTGGAATCGCCATTGCTGTATGTGTCCAATGCACATATGTGTATTTTATTACGATTAAATTCTGAGAAAGCCCAATGGAAAACAGTTCGCGGTAAAGCTGGCCCATGGAAAGCAAAGTATTCCTAGAATCATTTAAATTTAATTTCCTGCAAATTCATTCATCTATTTTATTATTTCACTTAAAAGGGCATTAAAAGGGCAAAGAATTTCTTCTCCAACATGGAATTTCTCCTTCCCCAGGTCTCCATTTTTTGCTGCCAATTGTTTGTGCACTTTTGTTCACTTCTCGCGGAAAAGGCAAAGCATAAAAATAAGTACAATCCACTCCTGCTCATTCCCATCATCCCTTGCCCTGCACCTGCGGACGCATTCGCTTTTTAGTTGCAACAAACATCGGCAACAACAGCAAAGTTTCGACTGGCCTGCCGCGCTCCCCTCCACACCCCTCGCTACTGTGCGTATGGTGCAAAAAATTAAAATAGAAATTTCAGCGGAAACGCTAAAATTTTATAATGGCGCACACGGGGGGCGTATGAGTGTTGCCAGTTGCCAGTTGCCATGGCCAGCGGCGGCTGCAGCTGCAGCGCCGCAGAAAGTGACGATGGCTGCCATTTAGGTGAAAAATATGCAGATGATGAGAGAACAATGGAGTGCCACATACTCCTACATATACTAAGAAATAAAAAGGATTATTCAAGCGAAAGGGATCGGCAAAGATCAAATATTTGGAACTGTTTCCTAGCTCTTGCCTTACTTATATTTACCATCAGTTCAGACACAACAGTGATGACCATCAGGGATCTATAAATCTGAGCACAGTTTAGCTAGCCATAATCCCCATTTTGGACCATCGCACTAAGCCTATTATTACCTGATTCATCACACGCCCTTTGGTATTTTGGGGCCTTTTCGGGGCGCCGAACAAATATATAACTTGCTCCACACACTCCCCACAAGTACCAGAGTCATATGCAACAAATCCTATGTAAACAGACACAGGCACAAATATCACTTATGTATATCCCTTTCAATATTTCATATATACCCTCGTATTTGTTGAGAGGCATCCCACCCTGGCACGCCATCGCCCCCAGGCTAAGCCCGTGACTGGTAACTAATTTGACACTACCCCTACGGGTCCTACCCATACTCGCATACTCGCACCGATTCTGCAGATTTTTTCTATGTTTCAATTTATTTTGTTTCATTTGGACATGGCCTCCCCCCATGAGACAGTGTGTGGGAGGGGCAGGGACGCCGCCCAAAAGAATTCAGCATCCATTTTTGTCCCGCTCTCTTTTTGTAATTGCTTTGACCAGCGCGGTGCAGCGTGGATGTAATTTTTTTAGAGGGCTGTTTTTCTATATATTCTATAGTCGTGCAGGCATTTAATTCATGCGAGGGATGATGCGAGTGGAAAATGCACTGGAAATGTCCCTTTCTATGGCAGAGGAAAATTGTCTGGCTTCCACTGGAATTCTGGTGGAAATTCTACGGGCAGGAGCTACGGGGGCAGTACTCTGGCAGAACCCAGGTGTAAGGTCACCCCAAAGCTATTCCACTCCTCTCTATATGCTTATGCAGTGTCTCTCCTATCGCAATTTACCTGCAATCCACTTTCTACGGACACAACTCCCCAGTCAACTTTCTAATCAAACGGAGGAAACCAAATGGCAATTTGTAGCTTCTCAAGACAACTCCAGTGCTCCGGCGGCGTCTTTCAGTTTCTTTTAGCCAAGGCAAACCCCTTGGCCAACGGCAGTGGCAGCAGCAGCCAGCATTGGCTATTGAAACGACAACCACATGAATAAGAGGAAAACGTACAAAATGTTCCATTAATTAAAACGATACAAGGAACAGATGCAGATGGAGGTGAACGTGGAGGTGGAGGTGGAGAGAGACTGTAACTGGACAAAGACAGTGGACAAAGACATTTTTGTGAGTCCAAAGCTGAGACGGAACCGGAACTACTCCGTCGGGAGTCTTTGGAACATGACATGGGGTCTGGTCTGGGGATGTGTGTTGCTTTCGGGCTTCGCTCCACTTCCACTACCTCTCCCAGTCTCGTCTCAGCTCTTTTAGCATGACTTCAGCTTGGGGCTCATCCAGGGCAACGGCAACCTTGACTTTGCCCGCAGCAGCCATGGGTGGGACGGTCCCTTCTTTGCAAGTAATTTGTTCTGAGGCTGACAGCAGCCCACTGGGCGTATGAGTAACACCTGCAAGGCAGATCAGCTCTACCACCCACCCCAGCCAACTGCATGGGGCTATAAATCCTAGCATTTATTTCCCTTTGCCACAACATTTTCTCGACTCTACTCGATTCGACTCGACTCGTCTCCGAGATGGGGAAAGTTGCTTTTGAAGTCTCACACAAATTTGTAACCCTTTTGCGGCAGTGGGCCTGAAAGTATAAGAGAGAAGAGAGTGGTGGGCGGTGAGCGGTGAGCAGTGAGGGGGTGTGGGGGTGGGTGGGTAGTCTCTCTGAATGTCAGAAATATGCGGGCTTGTGGCATCTTACAAGTAAAGGCTTTGGCATCAGGACAGAATCAGGAGCGGGAGAAGGAGAATGAGAGTGAGACTGGAGTTCAATGCAGAAGGCAGCCCAAAACTAACAAACTGACGAGGTGATGGGGTGGAGGATGAACATGTGCCTGCCCCCGCCTGCCTGGTGACTGCGCCTAAAAGCAGACTCGACTCTGTCTTCGACGGCGTCTGGGGCACAGGCCCGGCACACCACTACAATGCCGACAGCCTCTCTAAGCACACGCATAATGAATTACCACCGAGCCAAGAATCGTCCTTCCCTGTCTCCTTTCCGCCTCAGCTTGTGCCAGTGCCTCTGACTCTGGCTCTGCCTCTGCCTCTGCCAACTGCCGATGACATATTTCTCCAGACGAGGCAGCATCGCACCCCCTCTACAAAAGCAGCGCCTAAAAGGCAGCTAAGAAAATTTGCGTTTAACTCATAAGTGCGTGAAAGGGTTGCCAGACCCCGACTCTAGCAACACCCATCCCAGGCCCAGAGTAGAGTCCCAAGTCCCAGCCAAGCAACATCCTTTGCCATGGGGCTGCCTCTGTTCCCTGTCAAGGAAATTGTAGTTTAAATGAAATGGAAGTTGCTTTTATCAACGGGGTAGGCGGAAGGTTGCGGGGGCTTAGGGTCTCGGATTGGGGCTGTCTTGGGGCTGGGTATAGCAGATTGGGAGGGGGCCAGAGTATGGGGCTAGTATGTGTGAGCTTTCTTAGAAGTTCGGTTTCTGTATGTGCCTTGCCTCTGTGTGTGTCTATGCGTTGTGTGTGTTTATGTGTGTGGGGGTGTCTGTGTGTCTGTGTGTGTGGTTGTCGTATATAAATTAAAATGCCTAAACATATGCATTAGTTTTTGTCTCACTCCCACTCTCGCCCCCACATCAGGCAGTCCTTGGCCATGTGCAGGGGTGTGGGGTAGCTCGAAAGTTTTTGTGGTTACGACATTGGTTTTCGGGGGAGGTGGATGCTTGAGACAGGCCCAGAAAGGGTCTGGGCGGGGGTGGCAACTGTCAGTCTCGAGTCTCAAGTCTGGAGCTCCGCTCCGCTCCGAGTCTCGGTCTCGAGCTGTGGCCTGACAACTTAGTCTAATGAGAATTCAAATTCGAAACCCAACTACGCAATCGTGCTGAAGAAATTAAAAGAAATTGCACATGATGTGTTACGACAAGTGCTCTCCCTCTCTCACTCTCTGGCTGTGTGTGTGTGTGTGTGTGTGTGCCTATTGAACAGCATGATGTGTAGGTGTGTGTCTGTGGGTGAGAAATAGAACAAATATTTGATTCACTATCCGAGTGTGGAGAAGGGAACCTTGGCAACATACTCAAAAATATTTGCTCGAATTCGGGTCCTGGCCCGCTCCGAAGGAAGCTCAAAAGTGCAATGAAATTTTATGAGGCCTGATGCGAGCGAGCCAGGAAAGTTCTCATATGAAAATTAACTTATAAATAAACTGGAACTCAACTCAACTGCGACAGAGCACAGTTGATGTGGAAGAAAGGTTTCGGACAACTTGGACTGACTATCCCCAAATCCTTTCCTTACTCCGAAACCCACCACAAATCATTCCCTGGAGCTGACCTCCCATACGGCCCCCAGAGAGCCTGCAAATTAATGTTAATTAAGAGCGGGAGTCGGGACAGTGCTTCTCCTTCCTGTCCCCCAAACCTTTGTGCATTTGAGGGAAAAAGAAAGCTGCCTCAATCTCGATGGCCATCCGCACGGAACACAGCTCCATTTGCTATGGCAGTCCAAGTCCCAACCCACCTAACCAGTGTCCTTCGACCACAAGCCAAAGGAGTGTTCGGGAAAAAAGGCTGTGCCTGTGCCGGACGCCCAACGTCTTGGGCCAGCTAACGAAATGTTTCATTAGAGCCATGTTAGCCGCAAATGGCAGGGACACCACCCAGCAGCAGCAGCAGCAGCAGCAGGCCCTTGCCGGACCTCGCCAGATCTTGCCCCATCCTGCCCCACCCACTCGACTAATTTCCAGTGCACAAAAGGCAGGCAGTGAAAAAAGGCAACCCCAAGGTTGGGCAGCAAAGGAAAAAAGAAGGGAGGCAGAGAACAACTGGCCCTGCCTGAAGATGAAAGTCGAGAAAACTTTCCCTCGAATGCTGAGTTGGGTTGGGTTGCGTTGGGTCTTGGTCTTGGTCTGGGTGCAGGTCTTGGAATGGATTTTGGTTGGGTTGTCCGACCCCGAAAGCTTTCTTTGACGTCACTTCTTTTTCCGCATTCTTTTGAATGGTCTAACGAACTTAAAACTGGTTCTTCTTCTAATCATTGGGATTTGGCATATCGAACGCAGTCCCAAAACTTTGTGCGGTCTCTCCAAAGTTCCCCAAAAACGAACTTGCACACATCTTTCTCTTCACTTCTTTACCTCTTCTCATCTTGTCATCTTCTCGTTCTCGCTCTCACAGGAAACCATACCAGCAACACCGGCCACGAACATCGACACAACCAGCACGGTGGTCGGTGTGGGCGGCGGCGGCGGCGGCGCAGGTCTCGGCGGAGGAGGAGCAGGTGGCGGTGGCGGCCTCCTTGGCACCGGCGGGATCCTGGGCGAAGTCGTCAGCGGCCTGGGCGGAGGAGGCGGCAGCGAGTCGGAGGCCTATGCGGGCCTGATGAAGGACGCAGACAAGCTGAAGCTGATGCTCCTCGCCTGGAACTACCAGAACTCGACGGCGGTGCGCAACGGGACCGAAGGGCCAGACCTCAGTGTTGTGGGTGGGCTGTGGGCCCAGTACCAGAACGCGCTCGCCCAGAATGCGGCTGCGGCTGCGGCGGCCAGTGCCAAGATGGACAGCTCGCTGTCCCCAGTGCCCCGGCAGGACACACACTCACCCATGGAGACGCAGGACGAGACCAACTCCTCCGGGCAGAAGGAGGAGGACGAGGTTTCCGAGGACGACTCCGACGACAAGCTGGACGAGAAGCTGGCCACCACACACGATCCCGAGCGCCTCAAGGCCTTCAATGTGAGTAGAGCGAGAGTAAGAGCGAGAGAGAGACTTTTCTCTTTCTCTCCCCGTGGGCAGCGAATGTAAAGCAAAGCGTTGCCAAGAAGTCGCCAGAGAACTGGTCACTGAGGACGATATAGATTTGCTGGAACGTCTCTTTGTTGCTTTCAGATGTTCGTGCGGCTCTTTGTGGACGAGAATCTGGATCGCATCATCCCCATCTCGAAGCAGCCAAAGGAGAAGATCCAGGCCATCATCGATTCGTGTGCTCGCCAGTTCCCCGAGTTCAGTGACCGCTCCCGCAAACGCATCCGCACCTATCTCAAGTCGTGCAGACGCAACAAGAAGACCCGCGACGGATGGGAGAATACGGTAAGCTTAATCGAAGTAAGTTTATACCCGGAAATCGCAGGGTATGAGATTTTCATCTACATATATTTCCAACTATCCACGTCTCTCACTAAGTTGATCGTTTGTCTTGTCTGAGTCTATGCTCCCGTCCGTCCGTTTGTTCCCGTAGTGTTAAAAAAACATATAGATATCTAGTGGTAGCTGATCAGCGGATTATTACACCCGGTACTCGAAGAGTTTAGGGATATAGTTGATGTGTGTAACGCACAGAAGGAAACGTTTCCGACCCAAAGACCATAAAAGCTAGAGCAACCAAATTTTGTATCCAGTCCTCTGTGATATCACACTGTTACAAGTGTATTTAAAAATTTCGCTCCGAGAAAACCGAAAACGCAATATCGTAGCGATCTTATCTACCCGATTGCCGAATCTGGATTAGATCGGATCATTATTATAGCCAGAATGAACAAATCACATGGCTGTTTGCTTTATTCAACATCTTATTAGTTTGGGCAATGAAGTTTTTATACCCGTACTCAAAAAAGAGTTAAGGGGTACATTAGATTTGTGGTAAAAGTGGATGTGTGTAACGCAGAGAAGGATTCGTTTCCGACCCCATAAGGTATATATATTCTTGATCAGCATCAATAGCCGAGTCGATAGAGCCATGTCTGTCTGTCCGTCTGTCCGTCCGTCCTTCCGTACGTCTTGTTTGTCGGCTGGATCTCAGAGACTATGTGATATCACACTGCTACGTGCTGCTCATTCTCTCTCTCTCTGCCTCACACACTACTGGCGGAGGAGATGTATATGAGAGATGAAGCGAAGAATTGGAAACTGATAAAATATTCGTAAGTCTGACTGACTGATTACTACTGAGGTATAAAAGTAGTGGCGCGGCTTTAGACACGGCTCACAACGTTCCCCCTCATTTCGACTTGAAAGATTTAAGATTACCCTATATAGCCAGAGCTTAGTTCCATTGCAATGCTACTGATAGATAATGAAAGTCAACCGAACCTAATCCTTTTTGTACTGTTTTTGTTACAGACCAGACCAACCCCTGCACATCTGACATCCGTGCAGGCGGAACAAATACTGGCCATTGCCTGCGAGAACGAATCGATGAATGCCAAGAGAATGCGCATCGGCCTGGAGCCCATCACCCACGCTGTGCCAGCTCCAGGTAGTGCTGTTGCCGCAGCGGCTGCGGCAGCTGCGGCCGCTGCCGTTGTGGCCGCCACTAGCTCCGGTGTCGGTGGGACCAGTACAACGTCCGCGGGCAATGCCACGGTCACCTGCGGAGGAGCAGGAGTAGTGGATGCGACCGGCCTCACAAATGTGGCGGCCGCTGCACTGCCCTTTGTTAGCGCCGTGGGCTTCGCTCGCTCCACACCGAACTCGGAGCACGCGGAGGCGCTGCCCTTCGGCGGGGCCAGCAACGTGGGCGGAAGTGCGGGCGGCGGCAGTACGAGTGGAGCGGAGGTAAGCTCTTTTCCAAATCTTTTCCCCATTTAGTTACCCACTTAGTCGTAGAGACTGTTTTGTGTGTACAAAAGATTAGCCGCATAAGGGCAGAGATCCTGGAGTACGACCATATCATCTCTTCATCATTCATGCAGTGCACCAATGGGTGCAAATGGATGCGATAAGTCGCGTTCAACACCTTCTTTAAGTTCGTGAAGTCATGGATCACATAATATTTCTTGGCCAAAAGCCCTGCTCTAAATAAATATCTAACTTCTATGGAACTTTATGTTTTGATCAGTAAGTAGAACGGTGTACAAAAACGTCTGAACCGTCCAGGATTCTGATCATATGACGTACGATCTACGTATGGGAAACTTAAATTTTCTAACACAATATAAATGTAGACTTAATAAATACGCTGGTTCCATCCACTTTATGGGCATTCAGAGGAAGTCCTTTTGTAATTGATCTTGCTCCAAAGAACTATGTAGAAAAATTGCATCGGATGTAAATGAATATGAAACTATTTTAAGTTGGAATTGCAACCGATCGTTGTTAGCGGCTAGTTGCATCGCTTTATTTCAAATCGCATCGAGCCGAAAGCCCTGGCAGTTAGTGCTCCATAAATGTGTCTTAGGTTAAGATTTGTATTGTTAGCCTTCAAATTTATAAATAAATACAAAATATTTCAAATCACTTATTTCGGAATAAATCATTTCAGAGCCAGCACCATCTCCATCATGGACAGCCGCTGATGCAGAGCAACTGTTCGGCGCGCAGCTCTCCACTGGCCCTCAGTTCGAATGCGAGCGTGAGCGGTGGGGCAAGCGTGACCGGCCTGACACTGGCCAATGGGGCTGTGCCCTCGAATGGGGCTGGCCTCCCGCCCACCAGCTACCCCGGCTACTTTCCCGGGGTGGCTGCTTTGGGTAATGGTGAGTAGCAGATTGAGTTTGTTGAAGGAATCTAGCCTGAGTCTCATTTTGTGCGTTCCATTGCAGTGACGCCCACCGATCTCTCGATGAAACCAACCTCCCTGGGCTCCGGCGTCAGCGGCAACCTGCTCAGCAGCAACAACGGCAATCTGTCCGTGGCCGGCGCCATCAACTCCCAGCTCAGTGCCGCCAACCTGGCGACTTTGAGCAATGCCAACACTAACAGCGCCCTGGTGACCGCAACTCAGCAGCTGCAGCAGCTCCAACAGCAACAACAACAGCAGCAGCAACAGCAGCAACAACAGCAGCAGCAGCAGCAACAACAACAACAGCAGCAGCAGCAACAGCAGCTCCTGGCCAGCTCTGGCGGCGGTCTCGACGGGCAATCCTCCCGAGCGCCGCCTATCCTTCCGCACAAGCTGAGTCCCAACGAGGTGTCCGCGGCCCGCCAGGTGATATCCGCCTACCGTGAGAGCGCGGCCTTCCTCCTGCGCACCGCCGACCAGGTGGAGCAGCTGCTGGTCCAGCAGCAGTAGGCGTGGCCGAGGGGCGCACTCAAGTTTCCAGGACCCAAGCGATGCCAGGCGCGCGCGGGTTGTTCCTATTTAAAATTAATATAAATTCAATTACACACGAAACTGACCCACTCACCCCACACACTCTCGCGCCAAACTAAGCGAAATAGTCAAAGCATAGAGCAAAACGAAGGAGCAACACAGGAGTAGAAGGCAGAAGAGCAGGAGAGCAGGAGAGATGGAGAGGAGGATAGTAGAGCAGGAAATAGCCAAAGGAAGTTCGTTTAAACAAAACATTTTAAGTGTTTTTTCCTCCAACTACGTACACAATATTAAAATAGAATTAAACGATAAACAAAAACCAAAACAAATATTGAAAATATCACAACAGTAAAAATAGCAGAGCTGTTCCAGCCATCTGATTGCGTCCTACATTCCATCCTGGAATATGTGTTTCAGAGCTGTTCAAGTCTAGGCGAATGTCTTAAATTTATAAGCATGAAATAGTCATATTTCCCTTACTACAAAAAATGTATTTGCTTTGAATACCTGAGCTTAAATTACAATATTACTTAATATCACTTCCATGGAAATTTGGTATGACTCGAAATGCAAATTTATCTTCTTACGTTCTAAATATTTTAATCGTTACTCTGACTAAAGCTTTTTATGTCAACCATAAGACCATAAAACCAGTTCTGGGGCATATTAATTATCGCTACCGAACATACATGAAAGTTTAAAAAAGGTTCCCCCTTAACACTTCTATCCACTAAAAGCGCGAAATACACATAGAGGAGACATATCAGGTAGCTGGGCAGCTCTAATAAAAATAAATCCAAGCAACAGTTCAACGTACTCCAGTGTCTACTAAAAGTAAAACTACAATAGCCACACACAAACACTCGCATTGATTTTGTTTAAACTTTTGATTATTGCATATTTTTGGACTCGTCCAGGTGGGGGAGGAGTCGCGATTTCCGGGCCCGTTTTCGATGAGCGCGATTTGTTAAAAATGAAAAATAATAATTAATAAGTTGAAGTATTGTTGTACATTTTAAGGAATCGATACAAAAAACATTTTAAGGAAAACAAAAAAAAAAAAATACGAAAAACTATGAGAAAACACAGGGTGATACTTTGAAAAATTATTACAATGCATAAGCTAAAAATTAAACAAACGAGAAAGGAAAAGAGAAAATGTAAAAAAAATGAATTCGAAAAAATGGAATAGAAGTTGGTAAATGTGTATTTAAAGTTTAGAGACAACTAAGTTTTGTACACTGTTTCCAGTTTCTTGATTCATGTCCCTCAGTTCGACTGGTTTACCTTCCATTAGGTGTATATATTTTGAAATTTTAAATTTTTGTTTTGCTGTTGCTTTTTACTCACATTCGATTATGGAAGTATATATACCAAATAAAGTAAATAAATACAAAATAGCCATTAATGTTTTTTGCAACTATAAATGTGCATGTAAAAAAACCACACTCACACACACACACACACACACAAACAAACACTCAAAAACACAGTGGAACATCGGTTACATAGGGATGTGAGGAAAAGAAAGCCCTAAATGGAAGATCGCTATGGCAGGCAGATTATAGAATTTAATAATATAAATAAATTGCTACAATTATTTAACCAACAGATAATTATTGACTAAACCAAACTAAATAAATACCCAAAAGAGTTCGATCAAGGCGCGGGATATTTATAAAGAGTACTTAAACGTAACACACTGAGCGGCATTCGCTGAGAAGAGTAAACTAATTAAACCAGCCCGAACAGAGGAATCACGAGTGGAAACAAGACATTTTAAAAATCGATTTAATAAAGAATTTATGAGAATTATATGTACATTAAAAATCATTGTTTTTTCATATCGGTCTGCTCAGATTTTGAGCGATCTAAAACTAAAGCCGCTAAAACTAATTACACACATTGCGCCTACTTCTCCCTGCAAAAGCTCGCCTCTATGTAACTAGCGCAGTTTCATGGCAGGAAGCCTGTGACACAGTGAAAAGATGCTGTTTAGTTTCAGCATTGACCGTCGATCAAAGGGGCGCCACTGCGCAACACGAAAAAATTTTAGCATTTTTTTGGCTATTTTGGGTTAAAAACTTGGCTAAGTTAGTTCACAAACCCCTCTCACTTACCATTGACAACAACCAACCAGACGCCACCCATGGTCATGCTAATTTTAATACGTTAAGGTCATGCTTCGTCAAAATGACGGCGACACTTTTCAAATCAATATAATTTTTCAAATACGAATTAAATTATATATTTAATGATGCAACTTAATCACTGATCTTCTGGTAAATGAAAAAAAAATATTAAAATTAGACAGGCACTTTCGGAAAAAAATTCGGATTTACTTTTGAAACGGGCCGAAAACGACCTACCTGTGTTGGGCTCATAGCGAGCCTGACAGCCGCCCAAACCAAACCTAACCTAACTTTTGAAAACGCATAGTTAAACGCTCCCGGACTTGCAAAATGCGATATTTCCCCTCTTTCAAAATAGTATATTTTTGTTCTTTTGCAATTAAAGTTTTTCTTGTATAAAAATCCGCTTACTTTTCACTTCGGCAAGGAATATGATGCCGTTTTAAAACGTGTTTTGTGAGTGCGGGAGCGCCTAACTTCACGTTTTTAAAAGTAAACTAGAAATAAATCCTTAAGTTAAGTAGAAAATTTTATTTTTTTTTTATTAAAGAGTCGAAGGGACATTCATATTCTTTGACATTTGTCTAAATTTGTTTTTTTGTTTAATAATCTTTTCATTTTAATTAATGCACTTGAGATATTTCCTAAAATTTCAGTTGCTCAAGTAACTCTACTCAACCAATCTATTAATACTTTAGTATGAGCTTTGAGTGTAAACATTTTCAGTTGCGATTTCGCAATAGTTACAGGTGACTGTAACGGTAGTTCAACTTGTAAGTCGGCACACTGCAGCAGTTTCGAAATGGCTGGAGCTATACAAAAAATGAGATATAAGCGACAAAGGATAGCGGATATAATTGAAGATTTGTGAGCATGCGTCGTTGAATCGACGAAGCATGATTTTCTAGGGTAAGGTCCGGCCACAAAAAATGTTCTTCATGTAAACCAAAAGACTTAGTTTGATTATTCTAATCCGAATTGAATTACTAATAATAAAATTAATGGTCGCACTCCAAGCACCTTAAATACAATGGTAGGAACTGAAGGAAAACCAATATATTTTTAATGGCGCAGAATGTGATACGATTGTAAGTCAAGTTTGAATGTCAAGCGCAAAAATAATCTTATCTAGTCGAGTGTGACCGAAGTCTACAAATCTGTTTTCAGGCAGGATCCGATTTTCACATTCGCACTAACGCGTGTTGTCAGAGCGCCTTAAAATGCTTCTAAAGACGCGAGTCTACTTATACCCGTACCACTAACCATACAGTATATAGATGTGCCAGTTCATACAACGAAAGGGGCGCAGCTGAGTTTTCTGTCCCAGCTCCCAGGCGCTTCGGCTCTGTGAGGCTGAGACATTCGGGTCGGGAGCCAGGCCATTCGGGTCGGGAGCTGGGCCGTTCAGCATGTATGACTCATGTCGGGAAGCGAAAGCAAGCTGAGAATTGCAAATGTATCCTTGGCTCCTTATAGCCTCTGCGGTGGTTCTCTTGAGAGAATTACCTTGGTTGATGATCTTGGTGTTAAATTAGACCCAAAGTTAAAGTTTTCTGAACACATTTCTACCATGGTAAATAAGGCCATGGGTGTGCTTGGGTTTATAAAGAGGTGGTCAAAGGAATTTGACGACCCCTATATAACGAAGACTCTCTACATCTCGCTTGTTCGTCCGATTTTAGAGTACGGCTCTTGTGTATGGTGCCCCCAGTACAAAGTACACCAGGACCGTATAGAATCAGCCCAGAAAAACTTTTTTTTGCTCTGCGTGGCCTTAACTGGGAGGCAGGTGTGAGACTGCCATCTTATCCTCGTAGATTGCTTTTAATAAACCTTCCAACCTTAGTTAGTCGTAGAAAAATGCTTGGTGTGATTTTTATGCACAACCTGATCAAGGGTGACGTAGATAGCCCTGACTTGTTGAGCCGCATAAACTTTACGATTCCTATTAGATCTACTAGAAACTTCATTCCTTTGTTCCTTCCGCTTTGTAGATCGAATTATTCCTTGCACGAACCATTTAGGGTTCTTTGCTCGGACTTCAATTCCCTCTACCACATAATATCAACTACTAATTCCCTTCCTCTTCTTAAATCACTAATACTAACATACCTTTCCTGTAATTAGTTATATTTCTTAGCTATCTTTGCATGTTTAGCTCTTTGTGTTGTGTTTAGCTCTAATTTTCCTCGAATTTTAGTCTAACACCTATCTTTCCTGCATGCTCGCGATCGGTTCGGTAACACGCGTCGCGCGTCATGCGGCAGCGCCCATCGGTCGGTTGGGCGGGAGGGAGCAGCGTTTCTGCATGGGTTCCGCGCGTAACAGGCTTCGGCTTGGTGTCGCATGGGCCACTTGATGGTGCAGTCATTGCATATCAACGTCCAGACATTATGTGTGTAAACAGACACGACAAAATTTTGTATCAATTCTTATTTTCCGAAACCGTTTTGAGTTTCGTTTCCAGGTTACGTAAACGTGTGTGTGCCATGTATTCACACATACTGTGCTTGTGTGTGGGCTCTACAATTTTTTGCCGCTTGAATTGGTTTTTCGTTTTGTTTTGAGGGCTGATGTGATGTAGCGACCTGTGCTGACCTGCCGCAATATAACTGAGGAATGGGCAGAGAGGGTGGGGGTGGGAAATAAATACAATATTTAAAAGTAAAGGATGTTGTCTCTGCTCATATCTCCTAAACTAAAATTATCTTGAAAATTAGATTCGCTAAAGCTCTGGAAAATGTTATACTAGATGTGTTCATTTATTTTATTCAAATCGTTCATAAAATATTTTTTAATTTTGCCACCTCTTTTCGCCTTAGTCCCCAATGTAAATACACACAGTACAAACAAATAACAACTTTAAATTTTAAAGTTTGAAACCAAAATCGACCTATTCAGGGCCGGATCAACCCTCAACCTGGGCAACCATCAATCTGGGGCCCTCCATTTTTTCACGACAGTTCCTTCTTTTTTCATCTATACTAAAAATTTGTGTGTAAGCGGCTATCTCCGCAACGCTTGCACCAAATTGCATGCTGATTTTTTTAAATGATAGCCAGAGAATGTGACCTGGTTTGCACAAGCAAATTTGTACTTTTCTAGAAATAGGTTCCTCAAGAATTAAAAATGAATCAAAAAATCTTAAATTTGGTCTAAAAATGTGTGTTTGAACGCCCAGCAGTTCTGGTGCGGGCCAGTGTCCCATACGGGCTTGACTACTGTCTAGTCCCGCTGGACTAGTCGCGGGCTAGGCGAAGCTGGTGCAAAGAAATACACGGCAAGGGACACACGTAGCCCATGCCTAGCTCGCACGGTTTAGTCAAAGGGTCAGAAAAGGCTGATGCAAAGAAATGCCACTGCCTGCAGCACTTTGCTGGTTTGCCTAGCCCATGGTTGACCCAAGCTGATGCATGGACTGATGCATAAGCAGAAAAGAGAGAAAAAGAAGGAACAGCTTCGGCCTCAAATGAAAAACAAAAAAGAGACAAAGAAAATGCAAAAAAAAAATTGAGGCCTTGTGCATTTTATTAGTGTAATTTTTCTTCTTTTTCTCTCCATTCTTCTGCCGTCTTCTTATTCGAGCGCATGCATAAAAATTTTTTCGTTGTCGCGAGTGGAAGTTTCTTGAGCTAGGTAAGCAAAAATATTCATAAATCTAAGCTAAATTAATTATTAGCATGCTAATGCATAGACAAAGTGTTTATTTATAAAAAGCATATGTATGTACATGTAGGGCATATTAAAAAACAGTGCTCAGTTAAATAAAAAGGAGTGAAATATTTTTGAGGCTCCGCTGTACATTTTGGGCCTTTGCGCCTTTTTTTTGAGCGGCAGGCCGTCTGATTTTTGCTAAATACATATTTGTACCTACATATGTAAATAGAATACAAATTTTTCCCCTTATATATTGTTGTTGTTGCATGTTACTTTTATATATTTTCATATTTAAGAAATGTCTAAAAATTTTAAAAAGATGAAGTTTTCCTGCCAAGGTAAATTAACATTACAGGTACGACTGATATAAGTACTTTAATAAAGAATTAAATTTACAGAAAAGGAAAACGAGTGCACAAAATGCATAAAATTGGAGGAGCGTCTTGAGTCGATGGACGAAAAAATAACTCGCCAATTTGAGGTTGTGCTCGGGGAAGTTGCGGAGCTGAAAGTGATGGTGGGCCAGCTTACAGCCAATCAACTAAATCAAACAAACATCTTGGCATGCTGCCCCATCACAAGTTTCGATGACCTCGTTGATCTCAACGAAAAAATTGGGAAGGGGAATCGAGATGAATACGTACGTATTGTTGATAGTAATATTAGATAAATTAGACATTTGTAATAACAAAATATTTTTAACAGATTAATGCCTTGCATCAGCGCCTGCATCCTGGCTCAGTTGGACAAAATCTAAAAAATATTTTTACTGACGGGGTTGGCTTTGACTGCAATGTGGATGGGGTGCTACTTCATTTCATTTTGTCATTCTGTAGAACAAATTTGGTGTAAAAATTTAATAATCGTGATATTGTGCTTCATCGTAGAAATGAACAGCTTGTACGTGTATCCGAGACTCATCGCTGTTATGATGCACTACAATATCCCATATTGTTTTGGAGGGGACAAGATGGCTATAATTTTAACATTAAAATGAAAAATCCAGTAAACGGTCGAGAAGGAACAAAGAAA